TTGCGGCACTCCGTGTCTCATAGACTGTGAGGAAGAATTTGTGCCCCCTATTGAAACATACTGACTCCTGGAACTTAGATAAGACTTGAACCATTGGTGTGCTAGTCCTCTTATACCATAATGATACAGTTTGTCTAAGAGAATATCGTGAGAAATTACATCAAACGCTTTGCTAAAATCAAGTAGGAGGAGAAGAGAGACCTCTTTTTTGGAGAGGTTGTGTCTAATCGTGTTGGTTGCATCAAGGAGCGCATGTTTCTGTTGTGACGGTCTAGGCTTAATAGTACCGAATCAAGTAAAGCTATGAACTTATCGGGGTCACGTGATGGAGACCTATAAACGTCAACAATTAGTTTGGTTTTGTTGAGTCCTTTACAGTTGTTAATTTTCACTAACATGAATTCACCTGCCGATTTGGTGATCTCATCTACGTCCCGGAGATTAGGAATAAATTGTTCAATATTCTCAAACTCACACACTCGCTTACTGATATAAATTGCAAGACCACCACCCCGACCCGAAGTTCTGTTTGGGCCCTTAAGTAGAGGTCCATGGAAACCCTCGAGTAAAATATCAGTTACGCCATTGGGCAAATTGGATTCAATGAGATTGGTTTCGTTCAGACATAGGACATCGTACTTGCAGTATGTTTCTATGTTTTCTCGCAGGTGTTCAATATTCTTGATCAGCGATCGAATATTCAGTGAAAATAATTTCAGCTCGTTTGCTCCTGAGTTCTGTACGTGCTTCTGTTCCTTATATCTACATTCTACCAGTATATTTGAAATTTCATCAAAGTACTCTCTGTCCTGTTCATCATCAAGTTGATTACCTATTTCATTTGAAATGTTTTCTCTATCATATGGATTAAAAAATAAGTCATGTAGGTGGCTGTAATCATCAAGTAGATGGTGTGGTTCGTAGTTGAAACCAGGAATCATAGATTCACAACATGTTTTACAACCTAACTCGTGTTTCATACACTGGGAATGTATACTTTTTCCACACCAGTTACAATATCTTAGGTTTTTTGGTGAATAGCACCATCCTGCACAGGAATTGCATTTAACTTTGAATACAGGCCCGAATGCAGGCTTCTCGACTGGTGAATGGCACGCATTGATAGGGAGGGCACTAGCTAAACAATCGTAACAGGTCCAAGAAAAGCCTGAAGATATTATGTGCAGGGAATCAGATTTCGAGAGTCTCATACATTTAGGATGCTTGGTGTCGTTGCAAAGTGAGCAAGTAAGCAGAGGCGTGTTTTTTGGAATACGTTTGTTACATTTATCACAAACTTTCGCTTTAGGTAAGCTTGACATTTAAAGATTACAATTACCGAGATTCACCGATAAGTATTTATACCTGCGGTCTCTATATATAGATATACCGAGAGAAAGAAAAAGGAGGAGGAGAAAAAAGAGGAAGAAGTAAGAAAAATAAGAAAATTAATTTGATAAATCTAACGAGAACTTTCAGTTCTGTGTGAGAGATTATCGTCAAAAATGAAAAATTGATTGAATTGAGTTATGATCTAATAGTAAATTTTACAAAGCTCGCTTTGGATTTAGGTAAGATTATAATTTATTTTTAAAAACCACGGATAGTTTTAAATTTATTTCTATTTGTCGTATAATCAAAAACAATTTTATTCTGTTTTCAAGAATGCGTGGCTTTGGCGGCCAGTTATTGACTTATACATTACATTGAATTTTAAATAGAAATGTGAATATATTAAAATTTAAAACTTTCAAATCGGAGGCTTATAAATATTATTATATTATGATTGTAAAATAAAGGATAAAATTTTAAATTTGTTTCACTAAAAATTTGTTTCATTAGTTAGAGCTATAATATATGATTTTAGCGAGAGAACGTGCGCTGCACAGTAACGCATCACTCTACAATCAAAATGTAAGCTTTTTATTTTGCTCGTATTTCCATAATTTTAGTACTTTGATGACATTTTATGAACAAATTTTCAACCATAAATTTTATAGAAAGGATTAATTTGAATAATTAAATTTTTAATTATGCCTAAAAACTTATTTTAAATTGAAATAAAACTTTTTGGCGCACCGCGCGGCGCATATTTTCGACAATTTACTGTAGTATAAATCGTGAATGTTAAATTAAACGCTGAATAGCGAATACTGTCATATTTTTACCAAAGCACCTTATGATTTGAGTATACTTGAGTACTGTTATTGTTTTATTTCAGAACACCCAACATAGTATGCCTTTAGGATTAATTATTGTTTCAATGTTTAATTTGATAATTACTTAGGGCCAATAAATTTGGTTCACAATAAATTTGGTTACCATAATTTTGGTTACCATAATTTTAGTCCAAGATTTCGCAAATATTTAGTCTGCAACAATTTTAGTTACATTTTTTGACTTTTGGGGACCATGCCATTCCATTTATTTGAAAATGAGAAAAAGCGATGTTACAACGCAAGGGTTCTATAAGTGGAGAAAGGAAGCTTCACACCTTTAGTTTTCTCGACTTCTGGTGGAATGGGTGGTGAAGCTGAAAGACTGGTTAAGAAGCTGGCCAGTAAGATGAAGTACCACACTGGCCAGAGGTACTCGGATGCTGTAGGATACATTAAAAAGCGCCTTCGCTTTGAAATCCTAAGGACAACAGTGATTTCTCTCCGTGGAGACAGAGGTGCGAGAAAAAACATTGTTGATATAAACAGTCTAGATCTTAACTTGGAGCCACAAGGCCAAGGGTAATTTTTGATTGTTTAGGAAACTTTTTTAATTCTTAGAGGGTAGATTTTATATAGGGTCATTGCTATATTATGTGTATATTATTTGAATAATTTTATAAATATTTTATTTGATTTTTCCGTTATTTAGCTAGTTTTTTTTCGATTTTGCATATATATTTTAACGGCTTAGTGGCTCCGTTGGTTAATCTGCCTGGCATTGCTTGATTTCCGACTCTGTCACTAGCCGTGGGGTGAGTGTCCTTGACGCTCAGCTAAGGATCCCGAGTGGTCTATACAAGCCCCCGGTCCACTCAGCCAAATACTCGAGAAATCGGGTGTGAGGGTTAAATGAGGAGCTGCCCATTGCAGCAAAGTCTCGGGCAAAGAAAGTACTACCTTAACCGTCACTGGCCTAATGTATAATTGAATCCTTCGGCTTGTAATTGGCTGGTTACACACGTACTTGTGTAACATTGTGGCTGTTGCAATGTCCGAAGTAAAATAAGTGTTGAGAAAAATAAAGTCATACTTTAGTTTAACGTTAGGCATGTTGATTTAACATGGGGGAGGAAAGGTCGGAAAATTTACTAGAGCCAGGGACCATGACATTGTTTTCATTAGGAGTGCATTTGTCGAATATTTTATCACCCAAACTGTTCCATATAGTCGTACCTTTGAAGACAAAATTGCGTTTAGAAATGTCAAGTTTGTGTCGGGGGACCCGCATAGTTTGGCTACATGTTCTGGAACTTGTCTGAACAGGTCTTTCACTAAAAACAAAAATGTGTTTAAAGAATGTTATTTGCCATTCAAGAGCATTAATGAACTTGACATACACTTACTATTTAGAGTACTAAATCAGCCAACGTGGAAAGATTTCTCCTGATATACAGCTTCCAGGTAGTGGCTTAACGTTGCATGTTGCCCCCCCCCCCCCCCTGCCGAAAAAAAGCGCCCGCCTATTGGCACAGTGGCACCCCCTGGACCCTTTTAGTGGACGGCAGAAAAGCTCCTTCAAAAATCTTCCAAAATCTCTTTGAGAACCTAAATCGTGTCTTGTGCCATCCTCAGTGACCTTATAAGATGGTCATTCAAGAAAAATTTAGTCAAAACAGTGAGCATGGGTCAGAAGCTTGGCTGACATGTCTCCCCATTCAACAGCTAGGGTATACTTACAGCAAGCAAGACTTCAGAGATGCTGTTAATCTCTGGTATGGTTGGGACATCCCTAACATCCCAAAATTCTGCGATTGTGGAGCCAAGAATGATCACAATCATATCCTCAACTGTAAGAGAGGGTGCCGGGTATGTGAACTACCGTCATAACAACGTGAGAGACTCAGTAGCTGAATACCTTAGGCTGGTGACCAAGGATGTGAGGATTGAGCCCCTGTTTACACCTATAGAATCAGCCAACTTCCTATAAAAGGGCAACAATGCTGATAAGGCTAGGTTGGATATATCAGCAAGAGGAGTGTGGAGCACATTTGATAGGACTTTCTTTGATGTGGGCATTTTCAATCCCAAATTGCCCTGAACATATCAAGGAAAGACCATGCCAAAGTTCTACACTCTGCACGAGAATGAGAAAAAGAACCAGTACATGAACAAAGTGCTACAATTGGAGAAAGGGTCATTCGTCCCCCTTGTATTTAACACTACAGGAGGAATGGTACCTGAGGCCAAGCGTTTCATAAGGAGACTTGCTGTGTTGATAGCCACCAAGACAAAGGAGGACTACAGCCAGGTGATGTGTAACATCAGGACACGCCTGAGCATGGATATATTGAGGAGTGTGCTAGTAGCAGTTAGACTTTAGAGGTGTACGTGAGAAGGCAAAAAAGGCATGGACTGCCCCTATATCCAATGTCTCCTTCAACCTGATACCTGAGGAGAAGAGCTACGAGGGATAGATGATATTTATTTCTCTGGATTTACGATTGTGCTCTGCCAATTGCATCACTTGATTTAATTTATTGTATATAATATATAATACTGTTTGACATTATATATATACTATGGTTTTAAGAATTTTATGACATTGAGTTAAAACAGTGAAATTTCGGCCGTTGAAAGCAGAAATTTGAATATGTCCTACCGGAAGGACATATTCAAAATTTTCATTGCATCAAAGTTTTCTCCGGATATGCAGAACGGCAGAAAAGCTCCTCTTCAAAAATCTTCCAATCTGATCAAAAATGTGATGGTCTTTCCTCCCTGATAATTTATTGAATACTGAAACAAAAATTATATTTCAACATTATTGACATACAAATTATTTTAGTTTGAATGTGATGCCAGGGAGACACAATCTACTCGAGGCAAATGATGACATGGGGTCTGAAGATGGATATTACGAAGATGATTACTTACCAAAGTAAGATGATTTCTTAAGTTACTGAACATTGATTTTTAAAGACCCTTGCTATGAGTAATTTGATTTACAATTATATGTGATACTGAAAAGATTCCACCATTCACAATTATTTTAAAATAACTTTTTTGTATTTCAGGGTAGATAATCTCCGAGCAGATGGTTACGAGGAGGAGTTTAAGAAAGCTATTTCAGTTCTTGAACAGAAGCACAAACACCCCAGAAATGGAGAAGTTCACAACATTTGGTGAGAAATGAGCAAATAAATACAGAAATTGTACAGTTATACAGTATTATACGTACAATATAGCCTGAAATCTAGTCATGACAGCTCATCGTAAAAAACCTTAAAGTTGTGATGTTTTGTTTTACACATAAAAGAAGTCCATGTTTATGAAGGAGCATGCGCAATGCACATGCAGATATATTTACATATGTTGGCTTCAGAATCATGCGATAGTTATATATAAATATAGAATATGTTATATAAAATAGTTAGCTGATGTTTGATATAAAATGAACGAGTAATTGTTATTAATTATTATTCAGCTGTTATTACTTATGTAAATAAGTAATAACATATAATTTTACCGTATAAACTAGCAACCTACTTAAATTTAAAGTAGAATGTTAGAGTGCAGACAATTCTAGTCAAAGCAACATTCATTACCCGAAGTACGTCTCTCTGTATCCTAGGATGGAAAAGATTAGTAATAACATTTAGTTTACAAAGGATAAATGTAATGCATTATAAATTATACATAAATCACAACGCTATATGCACACTGCATTTAATGTAGGTGCGTGTGTATGTTTTGACTACTTCCTTGTGTACAGAAATATAACAAAGACCAAGGTATTTCACTCTACTACTACAACGCATGTTTATAAACAAGCGTTGTATAATTTGTTTATAATTCGTTTATAATTATAATTTGTTTATCGTCTAGTACCATGTAAAATGTAAACTGCCTCAACTTTGCCTTGATTTATACTAGACTCTCCTTCAACAGGAAATACCTATATTTTGCAGATCCTTTAGTGATGAGATGATATAACATTATACATAGTGCTCTGCAAACACACTAACCTAGGATCTGTCTAAAACAGCAAACTTTAACCTTTAATATCTCTTATTAAACTTGGTAGTGTTTAGTAGGTCCGAGCATCACAAGTCACAACTCTCGACAGACAAAGTGAAACAAGCAAATGACTGGTGGAAAATAAATGAATTATAATCGACGTTTCGGCACTCATTGGCCTTTTACTAAGATTACTGATTATAAGTTACGAGGGTCTCGCTTAGGTAGGCGAGCCCAATTATAGGAACTAAACAAGTAAGTAAGGTGGACCCCAACTAAACAGTAGTTTAAATAATATGCAGCTCTATAAAAAATAATGCATCCAAACAAGAGCTTACAATATCAAGTCAATTATTTCATTTAGGTTTCACCAGTCATTTGGCTTGTTTCACTTTGTCTGTCGAGTGCAGTGATGCTCGCTACTAAACACTACAATGTAAATTAGTTAGTTACATCTTATACAATGTCCTTGTCGCATAGGAGCGGGGGTAGTGAATACTGTGTTTCGTTCAGTTGAAGTCTGCAAATAATCAAAGTCATGACACGGAAAAATCTCTTTTACAGGCAAGTAAAACTAGACAGAATAAGGAATAAGTAAAACTAGACGATTAGCACACTAACCACTATCAACCAAATGCCACATTTTTCACTGCGCATTCACTGTCATATTGATAGCACTATACTATCGACTCTGCACTGCCCACTAATCGTTAATCCAACACAAGTAGCTTATAAAATAGTGCGTGTGATCATCTGTCGTATCAAATCAAATTATTTTTTACTATGTTTTTCACTATTTTTCACTATGTAGGACTAACCCCCCTACAGCTAGTATAATAGCGGCTCGGCACAGAGTGGCTTAGGGTTACTGAAAAGGAGATAAGCACCTCAGGCCATCCCAACGTTCGGGAGAGACCTTGTTGTATTGTATTGTATGTTAATAAATCATGATATGCAAGTTTTAATTTTTAAAGTTTAAAAAAAAAATGAATAAGCGTACGTATATCATAATTTTAAATTCTCATATTTACGTATATTAAATACAATTATATTGTTATGTATCATATGATTTTTTAATCATTGGCCGGTGTACCAAAAACCGGTCCCCAAACAAACAAAGTACACACCACGCTCTCTTATAAGTTTTTCAAAGCATCTTAATTAAATTCTAAAATTTTGCAACTCGAATGAAATAAATATTCAATAAATTAGATATAGAAAATGGTGCTTGATAGGAAATAGAAAGTATCTTCCAGCATCAGTAACTTAATGTGCGGATAGTAGGATGCAGATAGTAGGATGTAGGATGCGGATAGTAGGATGCAGATAGTAGGATGTAGGATGTGGATAGTAGGATGTAGGATGCAGATAGTAGGATGTAGGATGCGGATAGTAGGATGCAGATAGTAGGATGTAGGATGTGGATAGTAGGATGTAGGATGCGGATAGTAGGATGTAGGATGTGGATAGTAGGATGCAGATAGTAGGATGTAGGATGCGGATAGTAGGATGCAGATAGTAGGATGTAGGATGTGGATAGTAGGATGTAGGATGCGGATAGTAGGATGTAGGATGCGGATAGTAGGATGTAGGATGTGGATAGTAGGATGTAGGATGTGGATAGTAGGATGCAGATAGTAGGATGTAGGATGCGGATAGTAGGATGCAGATAGTAGGATGTAGGATGTGGATAGTAGGATGTAGGATGCGGATAGTAGGATGTAGGATGTGGATAGTAGGATGTAGGATGTGGATAGTAGGATGTAGGATGCGGATAGTAGGATGTAGGATGTGGATAGTAGGATGTAGGATGCGGATAGTAGGATGCGGATAGTAGGATATAGGATGCAGATAGTAGGATGTAGGATGTGGATAGTAGGATGTAGGATGCAGATAGTAGGATGTAGGATGTGGATAGTAGGATGTAGGATGCGGATAGTAGGATGTAGGATGTGGATAGTAGGATGTAGGATGCAGATAGTAGGATGTAGGATGTGGATAGTAGGATGTAGGATGCGGATAGTAGGATGTAGGATGCGGATAGTAGGATGTAGGATGTGGATAGTAGGATGTAGGATGCAGATAGTAGGATGCGGATAGTAGGATGTAGGATGCAGATAGTAGGATGTAGGATGTGGATAGTAGGATGTAGGATGCGGATAGTAGGATGTAGGATGCGGATAGTAGGATGTAGGATGTGGATAGTAGGATGTGGATAGTAGGATGTAGGATGCGGATAGTAGGATGTAGGATGCGGATAGTAGGATGCAGATAGTAGGATGTAGGATGTGGATAGTAGGATGCGGATAGTAGGATGCGGATAGTAGGATGCGGATAGTAGGATGTAGGATGCGGATAGTAGGATGTGGATAGTAGGATGTAGGATGCGGATAGTAGGATGTAGGATGCGGATAGTAGGATGTAGGATGTGGATAGTAGGATGTGGATAGTAGGATGTAGGATGTGGATAGTAGGATGTAGGATGTGGATAGTAGGATGTAGGATGTAGGATGTGGATATTAAATCCAGCCCTTCTCGCTGGCTAATATAGGTCACGTTATCTATCAAGTGACTGTACCTCGTGACTGCGTCACTCGGTTACCACGTGTTCGACAATCCGACCATACATCAGGTAATAACAGCACTGTGTTCAGTTATTACTCTGTGGAGTTCTAGAGTTTAATAAGATCTATTTTGTGGAAAGATGATGTCACACTTGCCGAATATTCTCGAATGGTAAACACATAAGATTCAACAAAATGACTATGAACTATTTTAAATGAGTTACAGATAGCCACTTTTAATTTGTTGTACGTGAAATTGAATTTGGTTTTGCAAATTGTGAGATTATAGCAGTACTCCTGTAGGCTGCATTCCTGGGGATTATAGCAGTACTCCTGTAGGCTGCATTCCTGGGGATTATAGCAGTACTCCTGTAGGCTGCATTCCTGGGGATTATAGCAGTACTCCTGTAGGCTGCATTCCTGGGGATTATAGCAGTACTCCTGTAGGCTGCATTCCTGGGGATTACATTCCTGAGAATAACCACTTAAAACTTTACTGACACACTTGCTACACTCAAAAGCTTTTAAAAGCAGCATGAATAAGATCATGTCTTAATATAATATTTAACTCCAGGTATCATTACGTTGTGAAACTTAAAGTAGCTTAAGTTTTGAATTTTATTGCATTGTGAGGGTGAAATAAAGGAAAGATTTTAATGGCGATCAATTTCATCGCATTATTCTAATATATATTTCGTAAAAGCTTTCAACTTGCAGTTTGCAGATAGTGTCAATTTAAAGCTTACGTTATATTTAGAAAGCGAAAACAGCTCTAGCTAGCATATTCCACAAAGAAGTCAGGACAAGAATAGCAACATTAAACAGCAAAATTATTGATTGAATCATAGTGGTTTATGCTTTACCACAAACATACATATAACAAGAAATGCGGCCGCTTTTTTTTGTGCATGGCCGCTCAATTTCCCGATCCGTGATGGCGTATTTTATCATTTTCTATACAACCTGAGGACCCCAGTTTTTACTGTTTATAAGTATGCAGATATGGCGAAGTGACAGGCCGAGCGCCACCAAGTTAATATAATTCCATATTGAATTTGAAAATCGTGTATATTTTTAAAAACCATATGCTTATTGTTTATTATATATGCAACCTGACACCCGACACGGATGTGTGCAAAATAGTATAAGTAACCCAAAATAATAATAGTATGCTATCAATTAGTGCCTAGTGGGATATGTACATGGTGAAATTAACAATGTACTTGGTCAGTTCAGCGCCGCGCGCCAACAATTAGCTGATTCGGATTATTCAGCAAAATAACTTTGCGCAGGTAGTCACGTGGGCGATTACAGTGTACGTGTGCGCTGCAGGCAGGTACGGTCGCTCGCAGGTACGGTCGCAAAGCTACCATATACAAAAAAAAAACCTCGTTCGCTAACCCTTGTCCTTGACTCTTTTGTGCCTTCGGCACTTTGAGTCATGGATCGGGAAAAAATAAATATGAACGTAAAGACGGATTACGACTGTTTCTGAATGATAAGAAATACTCTGAATTGATTAGGTTATAGTGCAGTAGTAAAGTGCCCCCCCCCCCCCTTAGTGAGGGGGCGTGTCTCCCCCCCCCCCCCCCTTAGTGAGGGGGCGTGTCTCCCCCCCCCCTTAGTGAGGGGGCGTGTCTCCGACTTTTACACATCGCGTCCAGGGAGCTTTTATATTGTATAATCAAGAGGCTTACATATGAACATATTGACATGGGTGTAGAGTTGAGCCTGTACGGAACCTAGTAGTTTCAGTTCCTTGTATAACTTGCAGATTTGCACTTTTACACATTTTCACAGTATTTAGTACTTATTATTGGTGTTCCCAAATACCTCATTTGGGCAGTAAGACTGGTATTCCATTTCATTAACTGTCATTCACTGTTTCAGTGATACTCAAGTTAAGGAAAACGAAGACGAGTTGTATTTAAAGAAGGTATGTATTTTGTTCCAATGTAAATATCCCAAATATTTCAAATATCTGTGCTAACGGATCAGGAATTAATGAATAAGACAGACAATGGCTGACCATGAATAGAGCGTATATTTGCATTCGGGAGATTTTAATTCACTAATTGCATTGATGAATCGTCTTAAAAGGTTGATAGATTATTGATTGATTAATTAACAACTCATTAACAACTCATTAACAATTCATTAACAACTCATTAACAACTCATTAACAACTCAATAATAATTAATGGTTTGCAGGTTAGTTTGTACAGATCCGTGGCTAACAGACAAAGCATGACTCGACGCAGTATTGACAGTGATCTTGACAAACTGTCTTCTTCTCTTATCTCCAGCAAGGAGAGGTAGGAGCTTGATAACATGAATATTTGAGAGAATAATAATATTTGATAATTATGCGATAAAATGGTTTAATGAAATTACTTTGTCCAGTCTCCCAAGAGGGTTTACAATGATAACAACCGACTATTTAAGTTCGAACAGTCACGTGGTATTTGTATTAATCCGTTAATTCATCATGTTTTGATACTTGATACTCTATTTACCGCAAACCCCGATTTACCATAATATATCTTATATAATAATTGGTTTGCATTTTGCAATAGAGGCAAAGACTTACCTACCAACAAAATAACCTGACTAAGTTAAAATTAAGTGGAAAAACATCCGGACAGACAGACAGACAGACAAAATACAGACATACAGTATCACTGAGCAGCAGTAACAGATACCACACCGACAATACAGTATCACTGAGCAGCAGTAACAGATACCACACCGACAATACAGTATCACTGAGCAGCAGTAACAGATACCACACCTACAATACAGTATCACTGAGCAGCAGTAACAGATACCACACCTACAATACAGTATCACTGAGCAGCAGTAACAGATACCACACCCACAATACAGTATCACTGAGCAGCAGTAACAGATACCACACCGACAATACAGTATCACTGAGCAGCAGTAACAGATACCACACCGACAATACAGTATCACTGAGCAGCAGTAACAGATACCACACCGACAATACAGTATCACTGAGCAGCAGTAACAGATACCACACCGACAATACAGTATCACTGAGCAGCAGTAACAGATACCACACCGACAATACAGTATCACTGAGCAGCAGTAACAGATACCACACCTACAATACAGTATCACTGAGCAGCAGTAACAGATACCACACCGACAATACAGTATCACTGAGCAGCAGTAACAGATACCACACCTACAATACAGTATCACTGAGCAGCAGTAACAGATACCACACCGACAATACAGTATCACTGAGCAGCAGTAACAGATACCACACCGACAATACAGTATCACTGAGCAGCAGTAACAGATACCACACCTACAATACAGTATCACTGAGCAGCAGTAACAGATACCACACCGACAATACAGTATCACTGAGCAGCAGTAACAGATACCACACCGACAATACAGTATCACTGAGCAGCAGTAACAGATACCACACCTACAATACAGTATCACTGAGCAGCAGTAACAGATACCACACCGACAATACAGTATCACTGAGCAGCAGTAACAGATACCACACCGACAATACAGTATCACTGAGCAGCAGTAACAGATACCACACCGACAATACAGTATCACTGAGCAGCAGTAACAGATACCACACCGACAATACAGTATCACTGAGCAGCAGTAACAGATACCACACCGACAATACAGTATCACTGAGCAGCAGTAACAGATACCACACCTACAATACAGTATCACTGAGCAGCAGTAACAGATACCACACCGACAATACAGTATCACTGAGCAGCAGTAACAGATACCACACCGACAATACAGTATCACTGAGCAGCAGTAACAGATACCACACCTACAATACAGTATCACTGAGCAGCAGTAACAGATACCACACCTACAATACAGTATCACTGAGCAGCAGTAACAGATACCACACCGACAATTTTACCAGACTTGTTAATTGGTAGTGTGAACAGATTAAATAGAGATATTTCATATTAATTGTTATAGGTAGATCTTTTAGCTCTGTGAATTAAATTAACCTTGAACCAAAATGTTAAACTTTAATAGAGGCATTCTATTTAGAACCTTAAACTCACGAAATCGCACCAGTCAAAGATTTGCAAAGAGGTAGAATTGAATCTCATGAACTTGAATGGGGATTAAACTGCACCACATGTAAATTACAAAAGTTGTCATTAAATCTGGGCTATGAATACGTTGTAACTCATTGTGTTGTTACTAACATTATGTTTCGTCAGGTGGTCTTCACAGACAGATGTAAACGATGACGTCAGCGATTTTACTGTTCAAGTTAATGGTGAAGTTAATGGTGAAGTTACTGGTGAAGTTAATGGTGAAGTTAATGATTTTAACGACGTCACAGTTGATGGTGATGGTGACGTCACAGTTGATATTAATGGTGACTTCACTGTTGATGTTAATGGTGAGTACGTAAGTTTACAAGCTCCTGAAATGGAAGATAACAAGGAAACAAGTCAGTGTTCTCTGCAAGTTCACAACAGTCCTATCAGATCTTCTCACAGTTCTAACAGGTTTTTAGGTTTTTAGGTTTTAATACTTTCAACACTACTATATAACAAATAATTTGAGGAGGTTCTCTCAAGATGATTTTTAATTCGTAGATTTCAAGAGCCTAAACTGTGTATGATTCGCCTCTCCAAACAAATCTAAGGTTTTTAGTGTTTTTTGTGATAATTTGCAAAGCCCCTTGTAACAGCCACATAGCCAGTTGTTCAGTAAAAAAGGGACAAGTCTGAAGCCCCTAGTAGTAGTACCATGCTCATTCAATTATACCAGTTACATTTTCTAGTTAATTAAATAATGTTTGAAAATTGGTGCTATATTTGATGATCTTAACGGAAATAAATTAAATTAAGTAAAAACTCTGACATCACATCATCACACAAAGCATAACATCCGCAGCTGCTGTTCCATGTCCTAAACTAACATAATATTTCAGCATATTTTCAACATATTTAACATATTTCAGTTTACAATCAGACAACCGTAAGCTGAGCGACAACAAACTGAACGGTAGCTCAGTGTCACTCCCTCTGAACAGGACTCTCAGCAACCTCAGCCTCCAAGCTAAACATCTGAACAAGAGCAATTCCTCTGTCGGTATGTGAAATATGTAACCTGGTAACATACACTTTGTTGTATCATCTTTAGATGGAGTGTAATCGATTGATTTATCAATGATGTGATTTGTGTCAGATTGAATCCACCGTCATACACACATGTAACTCAATGAAAACCGAAGCTAACTTATTTGATGAAAGTTCTTGACTTGGTAAGCAGTCTAGGCGCAGTGGTGTGATGTTTATCTGAACTTCTAAAATGTAACATGCGGCACTTAGTTCCAACAAAATGTGCTCGAAATACTTGGTATTTTTGGAACGCGCGGTCACCTTGAAATCAGCTAAAGCGAGTGCACGCGTGTTCTAGCTGTTGATTTGAGAATATAACATCAAGATTTTAAATCTACATGTGAATGTCTGTGATTGAATTATCTCTGCTAGCTATTTCCCATCGGACCATTCTGCACTGTTATTGAGAGTGCCTGGTATTGTACTTGTGATGTGACACACAATAGTCTCATCATCTTTTCCTCCAATTCTCTATTATTAGTTGTGATCTATGGGTCAAAGCGGGTTATAGATCAAAGACTTTCTTTGTTCATATCATCTGTCAGATTATAATTTGAGTGATAATAACCCCTTTTACCTCACTCAGAGCTAAATTTACGGATTTAATATCCGATCTAGAGATTAAATCATGAGATTCATGACAGTTGAAGCCAATCGAATCTATCTAATTTTCACCGACACCGTGGCGGCCAAATCACTATGATTATTAGACAATAACCTGTATGCTTACAATATATCCCAACAAAATACATAAATATTATACACACATACTCGTGATACAAGTTATTTTATATTTTATACATATTTATTCATATTAAACATATTTTATCGTGCATTCAGACAAGCGCTGAAGTGTTAGGAATTCAAAAAAACATTATAATAGGATTTAAAACGCTTTCATTTGCACATCATTTAGAAACTGTACTCTTCCCCAGATTCCAGCTGTTCGATGCCAGATGGGTGGGAGAAGGTGGAAAGTAAAACAGGAGTCTACTACTGGCATGTACCATCTGGCACCACACAGTACCAACACCCTAACTTATCTAGCAACCAGGATGTATGTTTTAGTTCTTATCTAGTTACCAGGATTAATCTAGATGCCAGATAATCAACCTCAAACCTGCCTCGAATCGACTACAGTAAGGTTGGAGCTGATAGCTAATCCAAGTATAACTCCTCCAGCTGTCGGAGAAAGTTTGTCAGTTGCAGATCTCTACACCTGAAACAGAGGAGCAGAGTTCAGTGTCACGTGATCAGGACCATACTTCACACCTCCCACCCGAACAGTTAGCACGTTAATTAATTATTTAGCTAATTAATTAGTTAGTTATTTGTTTATTTGTTTACATTTTGTAATAAATTGACTGAACTATCGGTTAACCATGTATTTGGTCCCACCAAACCTTAAAATCATAATCGTGCTTAGATCAACTTTTAAATTTTAGATTTAAAACTATTCAAGATGTTTGTAAATTTGATAATCGATGACACGACATAAATAGCTCGTCCCCCACTCGTCCATATATAAAGTATTCTCGTTAAATAGCTCGTCCATATATAAAGTATTCTCGTTTTTCACCCACATTATTTCAGCCACAAGGTGATTAACCTGGGATACATGGAGATGGACGCTTCAACCTTAAAAGCAGCCAACAGTTCAGTTTCCATAAACGAGTGTATTAGAAAGCTCAGCTCAATCATGAACGACCCCTCACAAACCGTAAGTTTTATTATCGTACAATCAGGGGACCCCCCCCCCCTCCCCCCCTCAAACAAAACTTTATAGCCTATTCAATTTAGAATTGTATCTATTCGCTTCGGTCATTCCAACAGCGATGGTTTGAATAGAGAATGATTCTGGTTTTTTGGTATTATGGTAATATGTTCATATAAAACAAATTAAAAACACCATATTATATATAAAAAATCAAACATAACATAACAATAGGTCAATCAAAAAGGGATGAAAATTATGCAAAACAAAAATAGCTTTGCTATGAATCGTGAAAATCACAAGAATAAAAAGTAGTCAAAACAATCAATACTTTTATGAAATTTCAAACACGACAGTCAAATAAAAAAAGAATTTTTATCAACTATAAAACGCTATTGTTTGTTATAACATGACAAGTTTGTCGACAAGTCCCGAGTAACAAGTTCCTCAATCGTACGTGGGAGAATTATACGTCATAAACGTCCCCATGTCGCTGCTGTCATCCTCAAAGTGCCGTCTCCTCACCATCACACCCACAATTTGCTCTAACCAGAGCCTTCTCGCTCTTGCAGTAGCGCGCGACCACCAAACGACGGCCATACCTGCTCGTCATGCTCGTTTCACCCTGCGTATCTGAAACAATTGAATTAATGTTACTATGCGGCGGGCCTTCAAGTTATGATTAATCTTCCGTAGTAGATACAATCGGTTATCTGTCGATACACGGTTGGGGCACAGTGCACACTAGTCCTATTCCTAAGTTCAGGTGTTATCATGTTACACTTACACTTTACAGTTTCCAAAACGTTTACTGAGAAGCGAGCAAGCTTGTGAACAACATTTTCGTATCCGGATTTGTTTTTCCTTTTTACAGGAGATTTTATTTTATTTCTGAATAAATATTATTGATTTTCTGCAGAACTCACCTTTAGATTTGCGAAGAAAATGTCGGGTATTGAACACCATAAAGGGGTTATTATAAATCAATTGCGACAACCTTAATCCAAATACTTATACACATGCACATAAAACTTTTAGTTGGACAATAATGTCGTTTACTTTGTAACGCTTATATGTTATATACAATATACATATAATATATATATTTGAGTAACCGCCGGGAGAATGCAAACCCTTTCAGTATAGACGATGTGGCTGGATTAAATTTATATCTCTGCAATAAGAGCTTACTTAATTCTCCCGTGATAATCCTAACTGCGATCCTAAATTTTAAATTCGAAATATTCAATAAATAGAGCAGGACAAAATGGAAATGTTTAAAATACTTCTACTTATAAGTGACAACTCTGCCGGAGTACCTGTTGCTTCCGTCTTGTTAACTATGTTTAGATCTTCCTCTCGCATACCTGCAATAAATAACTTGTTAAGATCTGCAATCTAAAATATAGTATTGCAATCTATTTCTAAGATTATCACCATGCCAGTCTGTTTGAAAAAATTACACTTAATTTCTTATTTACACTGAAAGTGCCGGATAGCGTAATATACTAATTTGGGTTACTTGAAAGTTTAATGACAAACTGGTTATTTACCGTAATTGTTGAAATTTCTCCGGAACAACTTTGTTCTTGACCAGAGAAATTTTCTAAAGCTTGATACTGTCAGGCAGTATATGTAGAAATTACTGATGGTGTTTAAAAACAGGAAGGAACGTGCAGTCCTGAAATAGTCCCTCTGGAAGAAGCCTTGAGGATCATGCAAGGATTTGATATTTTGATCTGCAATACGGTAAATAGCATAAGGCAGCACGGAGATGCAGTATACAGACGCAGTTAATACTGTTGTTATAATTCCTTCCCACCTTAGAGTTTCTCGGCCTCGTCGTGCTATTTTTTTAGCTGTTATTAACAAGTTGACTGTGGTGGAAAGCACTATACAGTTTGGGATGACCAGGTATATAACACAAAGTAAGGGTGCCAGCCAATTCCAAATATTCGATGAATATAAGTAATCACATTCATAGTTCCGATAATCAAAAGATATGTCTTTTTTATCGACCAGAAAAAACATCAATGGTAGTAAGAGGGCTGTTGTCCAAGCGGTTCCGCAAATCAAGTGAGCTCTCTTTGATGGCCAAGCCATAGCTTTAAGAGGGTACTTGAGGATAAGCAACTTGCTTGAAGTCATTGCGCAAATTAAAAGTGTTCCGGTCACGGAGAAGTAGTACGCTGCATAGGGTAATGTATAACAAAGAAATTCTCCGAGTATCCATCCATCAGCAAATAGTGACATCGTTGCAGGGATCACAGTATTTATAGTCACCAATAAGTCACTTATTGCTATGTGCTGTATGATGATGACCATATGTTTGTGGAGTTTAAATGCTTTGTATTTGATGGACGCTATAAGAATAGTTGAGTCTCCTATTAGAGATGAGAGAAGCACGAAGATGAAATAGCTTGCCCAAGTACATCTCAGTGCTTGATCCTCTATGCCGTACAGAGTATTATTAGAGTATTTGCTGGGTGTTATCATAATAACAGATAACAGTCTCAAAATAAGGTTGATGAGTAATTGCGATCAAGAAAAAGGAAATGAAAAAAAAAAGTTTATATATTCGGTTCCTTATGCTTTTCAACACCCATTTCTAAAGAAAGTTTTGCAGTGAGAACACTCAACATTAGGGACCTATGACTTACTTACTTCTAGTTACTTGAATTGCTAGGAGAAAGATTTGAAGTAGGCCAAAAAAAATAAGACTACTTCTTTGTCTGTTAATTGGTGTATTAAGACGCAATGAAACTACCGGACTACGATGTATATAAGGTTTGCTGCGAAGAAATTGTCGATTGAATTATAGTCCAGTTACCACAATATTGGTGAGGTAAATATGAGTAGCACCGAGCAGGGGACACTATTGAGGTGCTGGGAGCTCAAATTACGGAAAAACGCTGACAAATGAGAGATCATCAAAATGAGAGTTGAGAAACATTGGTATATTGACTTATTATAATAACTTATTAAATATTATATAGATCCAGACTTGCCTCTACCATAAATCGTGTTGATTTGTTGGATTGTAAAGAGTTGGATAATCTATCCTGGGTTAAGATTTCCTTGAGTGTTTATCAGATTAGTTCATCTGTTAAAATTAATGATGTCAGCTTCCTTACATGTTGCTCCTCCTTTTGAGTGTTCCAAGATTCTAGTATGCGTGCAGTTGATAGTTCATCTGCTGCAACCTTGTTTTCAATGATAGGGTGACATTCAAGTAGCTAGAGATTATTATAAATAACTGACGATATATCTTGTATTGTATCTGATCTTAGCCGGCATTTTCCCAACGATAAACCTTAACCAGAACATGACGTTTGGATAGTGAGATACTTCCCTTTGGTTTCGTCATAGGGCTATATCAGTTTGTATTTATTTACTGAATTATAAAACACATTGTAAAAGTCACTCCAAGCAAGGGTATTTCTCGTCATAGGGTAACGGAAACTAGTACTGACTTTGTTTTTCTGCCAAAACTTGAGGTGATTTCATCGACCAACTTGAGGTGCCCCAGATCATTTATACTTTTACACAGTTTCTGTTATTTCAGTGACAACTTCAATAATTAATTACCTAATTGAACATTTTTCAGGATAATTTAAGCCTGCAAATCCTGTTGTTTGAAGGGACCTACTTGAAACTTCTTGACTACAACAGCCGTGCAGTGTTATCCAGACAGAACATTTTAACCATCAGGAGATGGGGCGTAGGCAGCGATGACGTCAGGTGATTATTTAATTTGATAATGAACTGATTTTGTAATCGATTGAGTTTTGAAACGTTAGATTATTGGTTAATTTGATGATTAATTGTTTATGTCTTTATTAATGGTGTTGTTGATTGTCTGCCGTCTTATGCTCTTGAATACTGTGTACTGACTAGACTTACTATTACGATTATAACATAATGCGACTCTCTCTCTCTCTCTCTCTCTCTCTCTCTCTCTCTCTCTCTCTCTCTCTCTCTCTCTCTCTCTCTCTCTCTCTCTCTCTCTCTCTCTCTCTTTCTTTCTCTGAAATTAATGGTCCAAATTTCCTTGTCACAAGAATGCATTGTTGGTTAATATTATTTCTCTTTCTCTCAGGAACTTTGCGTACGTGGTGAAGCAGAAGGGAACTAACAATTACCGCTGTTTTGTCCTGCATTGCTATAACCCAGCCAGTCAGATAGCACTCCACATGAAGAACATTTGTAAACTGGCGGCTGAGAAACGTGAAGAGGTTCGTTACAGTTTTGTCACATGTCACCAGTTACAACCACGTCACAGTTCACACGTTACAGTCAGGTCACACTTTACAACCACGTCACAGTTCACACGTTACAGTCAGGTCACACTTTACAATCACGTTACAGTTCACACGTTACAGTCAGGTCACACTTTACAACCACGTCACAGTTCACACGTTACAGTCAGGTCACACTTTACAATCACGTTACAGTTCACACGTTACAGTCAGGTCACACTTTACAATCACGTCACAGTTCACACGTTACAGTCAGGTCACACTTTACAATCACGTCACAGTTCACACGTTACAGTCAGGTCACACTTTACAACCACGTCACAGTTCACACGTTACAGTCAGGTCACACTTTACAACCACGTCACAGTTCACACGTTACAGTCAGGTCACACTTTACAACCACGTCACAGTTCACACGTTACAGTCAGGTCACACTTTACAACCACGTCACAGTTCACACGTTACAGTCAGGTCACACTTTACAACCACGTCACAGTTCACACGTTACAGTCAGGTCACACTTTACAATCACGTCACAGTTCACACGTTACAGTCAGGTCACACTTTACAATCACGTCACAGTTCACACGTTACAGTCAGGTCACACTTTACAACCACGTCACAGTTCACACGTTACAGTCAGGTCACACTTTACAACCCCGTTACAGTTCACACGTCACAGTCAGGTCACACTTTACAACCACGTCACAGTTCACACGTTACAGTCAGGTCACACTTTACAATCACGTCACAGTTCACACGTTACAGTCAGGTCACACTTTACAATCACGTTACAGTTCACACGTTACAGTCAGGTCACACGTTACAGGTCACACGTTACAGTGACAGTTACGTGACACATTTAAATCACATGACACACGTCACGTGACATTTTCATTGTTGGGCATTGTACCCATACAAAACATTTATCACCATGACAATATCCCATACAATATAACCACGATATTATCTTGACACTCACTACTTATCTCTGTAATGTGCAGTGGGAGACAGTATTTATGGTAAGAACCCCCATTCTGTGAAGCGTAACGAGATTACCTGATCCAGGGAATCAAGTCAACGTATTAATCTCCTCTTAATGCAATCCACCGTCTGATACTCTGCTAATGAATGAGCGAGCACCAAGAGAGACGTCAATTTAATCGGACCAATGGTGGCCCGTAATTATTGTCAGCAGCCAGTGGGAAGGCGCGAGGGTGGTCACGTGGCCGAAGTAATATTTGCAGAAAGGTTGCTGCTGGTTGAACAAGCTTATTTGGTGGTTTCTGGATATTGGTTGTCATGGTAACGTGGCATATATTCAGCTGTTTTATGAAAAATATATTGTCATGTAAATCGAATGAAGGTGATCATGCTTAAAGCAAATTTTTGCGCTCCCTCTGTCAAATACGATTAGTTTTATTCGAGGTCTTACTTCTAATCATTAGTTGCCATATTGCCTTTCAGTTATATCGCAGGTCTCGACTCTCGGATGAATTAAATAGATGATAATGTTGTAGTATTAATGTGTGCTTGCTGAGATATAACGTGATATATCACTAACAATAAGTAGTCTGAGGTTGAACCCATGATCCTTAACAAGCAGTATAATGTAAAGATCGCTGAGTCACGGTGGCTACGCCCTCCTTCATTTAATATGATTTTAAAAGTTTACTGTGAGGAATTATTTAACATGCCCAGACGAGTTTGAGCAACCTGTAATATTATACTTATAATTTTAAACATTTTGATGGTAAAATTTTGAATGAAAGTATTGAAATGAAAGATTTAAGTTGTCTCGTTAAACTGTGGCTTAAGTTTTGTGGGAAGTTGGCCCAATCCCATACTGTCAGAGACAAGATGTTTTATCATCGTGTTGCCAGTTAAACCTGTTCTCAAGACAGAGCCTAATTGACCTCTTATTAATTTTTTCAACGGAATAAGGGTGTTTTCGTGTTATGAGACCATCAATAATTTAACTCCTCGTGGAATTTTATATCAGAATGATGCTCCACTTTCTGATCATGGGCCTTATTTAAAAATACCAATTTTAATTATTTCCCCTCTTTTTTAAGACGGGTTTCTGTTTGTATGTCCTCGTCTTACCCCTTACTCCGTCTCACCGTCTCACCGCTCATAAGTGGACAGCGCCATGAACACGTGACAGTCACCTGTCACATTAACTAGTACTCAGTCTCCAGTGTCCAGTTACCAACTACCTCATGTCACGTACTCATAGAGAGAACCTTTATAATTTACATCTTTTATCGCAGCTAAACGACCAGTTTCTGGTAACTAGCATCGTGTTTCCATGGATACCAAACATCCCTAATGGCTTGATTGTTAATTACGTACTGTTATAAAGGATAATGGATCGCTTAAAATGTTTAAGTAGAAAAAAGTCGTTAAATGGTATACATCGCCATTATTCGAGTTTATTTTTTGCTTTCGCTCCAGTTTTTCCGTCTGTTCGAGTTGTTTTTGCGGGTTGTCCGACTTTAAGATGACGATTTTCCGTCCTTTCGATCAGCTGCAACTTTTCTGGGGCAACATAAACAAGGACGAAAGTGTCTACCCTCCACGTGAATCTTTTCACTCACGATCTTGTCGTCCAAAACACCTCTCCGGACGTGGGCAGATGGGGGATTTATCGGAATCTGAGAGAGGGTGTCGCAAACGGATCATCAATCAGGTACTTCCAGATGAGATCGAGTAATTTGTGGTTTTTGATTAGATAATTTCGTTTAGTAGATGTGTGGGCATATTTTGAGGTGGTGATTTGAAGAATGACACCCGGGGAAACTTTGAAAGGTTTCCGAATTAAACCAGCGGAGACGTTAGTCGTTGCTAATTGCTACATTATCGGGTTATTCAGACGAATTATTCTTTGGCATTGCAGTTTCATAATATTTATCGTTTTCCCATTTCAAAACGATCAACAAAACATAGACGTAGCGCGTGTCACGTGCGATGTAACCATGGGAACAGTATTACTTACCATATGTTCCACCGTATGACTGATCATTAGATCGCTTTTAAAAGTTTTAATAGACGTAAAACACATATTCTTCCCTCCCTTCTGCCTAGATTTCTACCATCTTTGAACTCGTACCAACTCAAGATACTCACCCAGCCACTGCTCCCCAGCCACCCCCATAATCCAGTCTCCGGAAAATTAAACAAACCAGAGAGATCTAGTTAAACCAGCTAAATGTGGAGCACTTTCCACTCAAGTTCAAGTTTTGTGCAGCTTGGTGGGAGCACGGTGGGCAGCTAGCGCGCATAAGCTGTCATCGTGTATACATTTTGTTGTACTACTTATGGAGGGAGGGTATTTTCTTTTAACCTGAATCTTGTTGTTGTCTTCTTTTACTAATCCCCTATGTGGGGACATTTTTTGTCCCTCATTAGGCTTTAAACTTTTAGTATTTTAGTAGTTTTATTTAGTTTGTATATTTGGAGTGAAAGGAGTGTGACATTAGTCCCGGTTGTTGTTTGGGTGTGTGTGCTAAATTTGTGGGGGCCCTTCTCGGTGGTACTGTGCCAAGGGGTTAGAAAGGGGGTGGAGTCCCCAGTAAGGACCCCACTATTTACTGTGCCAAGTGTAGTGTGGAGTGCAGGAAAGACTCCACTACTATTTTGTCCCCAAGTGTAAGGGGGGGGAAGGTTGGCGGGGGTTTTTTAAATGGATTTCCACTACTCCCTGTCCCCAATTTGTGGGTAGGGGGAGTGCAGAATGACTCCCTAATTTTACGGGTCCCAAAAGTGTAAAAAAAAAAATTTTTTGGGGGTGAATTTAAGGGACCCCCTTACTACTGTCCCAAAGGGGGGTTTAAGTTTTTTGGGGGTTGGGCGGGTTAAATTGACTCCACTACTTAGTGCCAAGTGTGAAATTGGGTGCAGTAATGGACCCCACTATACTGTGCCAAGTAAAGGTGAACCCTTTTTTAGGGGCGTGTTGGAGTTGGGAGGGTTTTTTACGTTTTACAATTCGACAATTTTGTTTGCCCGGTCTTCCTTAAAAGTTTGAGTTGTCTTTTGTGGCCCTTTTTTAAAAACGGGAGGGTTTCAAATGATTTGGGGAAATAGGGGGGCCCATTCCCTTTTTGGGTTTATGAGTGAAGTTTTTCCGAAGGGGGTTAAGTTTTGTTGCCTAAAATGTCTGTGTTTTTAAATGTTGTTACATTTTTTTTTCCCAAAAATTTTAACAGTTATTTGTCACAGTGTGACCCCTCGTTTGGTACAGTCTTTTTATTGCAGCCCAATCACCCAATCTTTTAAAAAATTTTTGATCACCCAAAAAATCCGTTTTATTTAAAACCCAATTTTTTTGGCAGAAACAACTTTTAAAACTGTTTTCAGAGAAACCCGCTCTTTTGTTATAGTTGAAAAACCCCTTTATATATTTTATTATAACAAAATTATACTATTTTATATAATTTTTAAAAGTATTCTAGGTTTATTTTTAATTTTTTATTATTTACAATGTTTAAGGGGGCAAAAGGGGATTAGTCAATGATCATTTGGGGGGAGGGAAACCCCAAAAAAATTTTGGGGCGGTAAAATTGTTTGATTTTCCCTTGTGGCCCCCCTCTTCGTAATTGTTTTTTTATTTTATTTTTAAAATTTTAAGTAAAAATTTTAACGGTTGTGGGGGGTTTAAATTCACTTTTCCCAAAACACGTTTTTTTTAAAAAATGTCTTTTTAAAAAATGTCAATTTTAACTTCATTACACCGGGGGGTTTGCTTGGGGGGTTTGGGGCTTTTTCTATTTTGAATTCTATCCAAAAAATTCTCAAGGGAACGCTTTCCCCAAAAGAGCCCCCCCAAAACCCCATGAGTTCCCCTTTAAACCCCCAAACAATCAGTGAACCCCAAATTAGTGGTTTTTCCAAATCCATTCAAAATACTTCCAATTTTTCAAAATTCCCTTATTTTCACCCGGGGGGCCTCCCACCTCCCCCATTCCCTGTTT